CATGGAAATGACCTTGAGGGATGAGGTCAACAGCCCACCCGCACATATCAAAGCTGCCCTTGACATCATGATAGGTGATCATAGGCAGCCCGCCGGCGGTTCTAGACCAAATTTCCGTTTTGTTATGGAACGAAAAGAAGGCGTGCGGGCTCAATGCCATACCCGCATCCCCCTTTGTGCCATCTAGCCTTGAAGCGGCGCTGCGAAAACAACTACAGAAAGGCCCAGGGCCTTGGCAGAGGGGCAAGCCTGCCACCTCCCAATGGGGCCAGCGCGCACTTGTAACACCGCCGCCTGACGCAACGGGGACTCTTGCCGAAGTGCCGGCGGTGGGCATTCTGTGCTCCATGCTGGAACTCAGTCAGCAACGTCCTGCGCAGGCCGAGTCGGTTCTTCAGGCGGCCGGCAAAAAGGAATAGCTGGGGACAAGCCAATCAATATCTCCGACCGCCTGAAATTGGTTGCCTCCTTTACGTGGGACGGCCTGTCGTTTTGCCATGAGGAATGGAGAACCAAGCCTGGTTTTCCCGGAAGGCCCCACCATTGAGCACCTTGGTAACAGACCGCTACGCAGTCAGGCGGGGAGGCGGATGGAAACCTGCAGATGGGTGAGTGTCCAGGAGAAACAGAGGACAAAACGAAAATCGGGCAGAGCTACGAGCTGGCGGTCCTCCTGGCTGATATCGCCCTGACCTTCGGGCACTCCATCACTGAAGACACCCCCATCGGACTGGTGTCGCAATATGAGAAAGTTGTTACCCAAATCAAAGGACACCTCAATCTTCTCCATCACACCGACGAGTTGGGGACCCCAAAGATGAATATGCTGGAAGCTGGAGGCATGTCGCGTGTCAGTCCTCACGGCATGCGCCACGGGATCTGCGTCTTTGTTACCTGCAAAGGCTCCGGTTTTCTTTTCCATAACGAGGCGGGTTTCGCCAGAGCCACTGCTGCCCTTACCCGAAGCCTCGGGCCGTTGATCCTGATGACGCCCCGCGGGCCACATTTCGGTTGAGGAATTCGTAGCGAGAACGGCCAGCCGGCCAGCCTTTGGCACATGAGTGACCCTGGGGTGTCCAGGATGCAGCATCAGCACGCGTATAAGGGAAAGGCAGTGGCAGCAATTTACCTTAGGCAAGACAGACAAATAGGGATACACCATTTGCCAAGCCTCCCAACGTTGAGGTTGCGTGGGCAATCAAGGCCAGCAAAGGCGACAAATTTGCTGTCCTGCACCGAGGGACGAAGGGGGCGGCCAGAGGGCACAATCCCTACTTCCAATCGCGCCGTCTGTCAGGCACAATCAGTGACCTGCGAAGACATGGCTTTCAGTGGGAGCCACTCCCACACGCGGTGCACTGCCTGCCATACCAGGCAGCACAAGCTAGTGATGGTGCGACGGAGTACCTCCAGTGTCTACTGGGCCAGGTGAACATCTCTTCTCCGCCTGAAAGGGGTAGGGATAATCATCCGGATGTCCAGCGCCCTGGCATCCACCAAACTGGGGGCGGGGGAAGACTGCTGCCAGAACGCACCGGAGGACAGGCTGGCGCATCTGAGGGAGGTGGCGAGGCATCAGCCCGTGTGCCTCAGCCAGCCTCGGGCCCCTTCCCAGGTGCCAACATCTAGCAGGTGAAGAGTCATGGAGTACTTTGAGGAGTTTGCCATTTTGGGAGACCACCGAAAGATAATGTTTCATTGTTTTGAGACAGTCATCATTTTTGCACTAAGGCATCATTTCGGTACCCAAAAGGATTGGTACGTTACAGCACCGTACCATGGCCTGCTTACGCAAGCGACGGCTTGTGGTGGGCAAGGTACGTGCGGAACAGAAGAAGTGTGGGCTTTGTGGTTGGCTACTGGAGGAATAGAAAAAGTGTGGGCATATGAGGGGGACATGTAGACATAGATATGTACAGGTACATACATATATATCCAAGGTCGATAGGTGGAATTTTCTTGGGGGCGCACTCTTCATATACAATACCCATGCACGGCAGCAAAAAATATAGAGCGTTTGTAAGTTAGCATAGCATGTGCGCAAAGGGGAGATGTTTTTGTGTGGTTTGCTACGACCTTTATTTGAGTCCGCTCAACCTCTGTCCGCACGGTGCCGGTTCGCTCCCGTGTACGGGTAGCCAAATGCCACCTTCTGAACACACCTAACCTCCCGTAAGCCAAATCCTTCCACGATCTTGTGAATTTCCTTACTGACATCATTAACGAAGAAATCATCTCGCAATTCACGCTGAGTGCCGTTGCTCAAGGTTGCCGAGTGTTTGGGTGCATGTTCGAACAAGCTGACAGAAACGCGTCTAGTTGTGTAGTCAGCAGGACGGCCAAGACATTGAGCGCCAGTCAAACTCGCATGTTTGTGTCCGTGTCAAGCATTCATTCCAGACCAAGCACGGCTTGTTCCATCGGATTTCGATTTTTAGTTAATGTGACTTCACATTCGCAGTTCTCGAACGTTCAATGTTGCAACAACTCTGTTGAGAAGATCCCCTCGCCACGGAGCCGACGCGTGTTGGTTTGGTTGGGGGCCCGTTGCAGGCACCGCAGATTCTACACCGCAGATTCTACACCTGTTCTGATTTTACTGGTGATGCAAACGAATGTTATTGGCAGATGTTGTGGTGACTTCTGCAGGATGATCAGCTGTTCGGCTGGTTGGAAGGAGTGATTTGCTTGCTTATGTGGGGCTGATGCCGCTTTTGTTGGTTCTGCCATGAGTACAGTTGCTTTAGTCGCAACTGTTCAGGTGCAATCAAAACGTACTAGGTTTCAAGTCTGTGTTCTTAAACATGTGGGTTAATGTTTGGTAGCCTCGCTGTGTCTTCAAAGACGCTTCTTGGCAGTTGATCGAAGTTACGCTTGTCCATGAAACTGCACAACCTTGCCATTGGAGGTTGCGTTTTGCCCACGATTGTTCGCAGGAGCGACCGAGACTGTCCAAGTCTACATCCTCAAGAAGGTTACCGTTGTGTCGACAAAGCCACACGTCATGAGCAGTAGTATTTGCCTTCGATGGTGGCGCACAGCTTCAGCAGGATTGTGGTGGCCAGCGCTCTTCTGCCAACCAGACCAGTGTTGCGAGCATTTTCATGCTTGTGTTTTCTGTGCTTTATTTACGTGCCAGGACCTTTGCAGCACATAGTCGGTACTTCAGCGTCGAGAGCTCAGAGGTTCTCAAATGAAAGTCATTTCCACAAGTGAGCTAAACCAAACTTGCCAGGCATGGCTTGGGCAGAGTCGTGTCCTCAGCCACTATGGGATCCTGGACTAGTCCAGCTTTCAGGCGGCAAATATTGCTTGCAAGGCATTGCTTGCATTGGCCTTTCGATCAAAACCTTGGGCCGAATTACTTTTTACGTCATTCAGCCTGAGAGCGACTGGATCCAGACTGCACTCCGCGAGAACATGGCAACAATGGAGTTAGTGGTAAACACCAGGCCGGGAACCGTTCATGGAGAGGCCGTGGGACCGTGACCGCTGCCCACAGTCACAGATATTTTAAGAACGGATGCCATATTGTTGGTCGTTGTCTTCTATGTCATACAAAGTCAGCAAGACTGAAGTCGCTAAGCGAGGTAGAACATATTCGTCAAAGGCCACACATGCCAAACCATGCCAAACCATGCCAAACCATGCCAAACCATGCCAAACCATGCCGCACTAAAGTCGGGAACCTGCATTGCTTTTTGCTTCTACAGCGGCCAAGGCTGGCAGACACGTCCTTCACAACGATCTGGCAGAGGTTTCATCAGCAGTTTCAGCACCAGTAGCAGAGAGTAGCGGAGACAAGCAGCTGGCATGTCAACTGTTCCATGGCTGCAGCAGTTCATTTTCTGAGGATTGCGAGCAGCACTCGATGATTTGGATGGGGTCGTGTTGCATCCTCAAGATTTGAATCCTTGGGGGGCATCCAGGGCATTCCTATGCACATTGCTTGCACATTCCTTGCAGTCCTCGAGGGTGCAAAAAGTCGAGTCGCATTCGCCGCCATGTTTCGAGGCTGGTTCCAATGGCCGAGGATGACGTTAGCATCGAGGACATGAAGTGGCCCGACCGGTTTTTGATAAAGTTCCTCTTTTCGAGGGACTGGCACAGGTCTGTTCGGGTTGGGTTGCAACTTATCGAAATGCTTCTTCAACCTTTTTTCTGTCTCGTTCCAGGCCTCCCCCTTTGCCAGACCTCGAGGCGCGTGACGCTTCTTAATGTCATTCTTTGCGCAACCCCGTGAGCGCAAGGTGGGAGAGAAGCAGGAAGGTCCGCGGAAGCTGGCTCCTCAGACATGCAGTGACATGGTCTTGACATATGCGGTGCAGCTGTTGGCATGAACCTTAATGACGTGCAACGTGTAACATGGGAGGAGTAAAGCGGGCAGAACAAAGTTTTCATATACCTTGCCACATATTCACGCAAACAATCAGTGCTGCATGGGCTGCATGCTGCATATTTGATCCTGAACTTCTGGTGCAGCAGCAGCCACCGCAGCAGGCAAAAGTCGCAAACCTTCTCTCCGTGGCCTTCGTTGTTTGTGATGTGTGATTGGTGGTGAGTGTAGGCAGTGTAGGCTAGGCTTGGATGTTGCAGGACATCTCTTGACAAGACATTGGGAATGGTGTCGAGTGTCCAGTGGCGTTTCAGCGAAGTCGCCAACAAAGTGTGCCACACGTGACTGCAAGGTTTCCTGCTCTCGAGGGTATGGAATCTCCGAGGCCAGTTGTGCCACGGAGAGAATTAGGCACCTGAGCAGCCTAACCACGGCCACATGATTTGGGCGTAGCATCTAGCTTCCGTGGCTGAGGCAGCCACATGAGAACCCTTGTCTTGCTAAAGCTGATGAAATTTTTGAAGGGCATGGAGTTCTTGCAGCAAGTTTTGTTGGCTCGTCTTCTGATTCTTATGATAGCAAGCACTGCGCGGCTTGGAGTGGCTCAGAGCAAGCTTGGAGTGGGAGTAGCCGAAGTAGCTGGTAGGATCTTTTGAGGGTTGCGATGGCTAATGCAGACTGGGGTGGGCATTCTGGAAGCCGCCTAGGCTTGGACATTGGTGGAACGCTGGCGAAGCTTGTGTTCTTCGAATCGGAAGTTTGTCCATCTTGGTGCACTGGCCGGTTTGCCGAAGTCATCAAAGGCTTGGGCAAATCAAAATCCGAGAATCCGGCGAGCGCTGACTATGGTTTCAGCAGGCAAGGATCGTTCTGGGGCGAGCAGGAGAACGAGCTGTGCTTCTATGATGAGGAGCTACAAGGCTATTTCCATTTCTTGTGCTTCCGCTCTGAGCAGATGGAGCGGTTTGTTTCACTGATAGCGGCACAAGAACTGCATCACGACATCGATGAGATTTTTACAACAGGAGGTGGTGCTTACAAGTACGCGGCATTGTTCTCTGAACATTTGGGAATTACTCTCAAGCCTGTGGATGAGCTAGGCGTGGTTGTGAAAGGCATCTCATGGTTGCTGAAGAGACCGATTTCGGATGAGGTTTGCTGGCTGGGAGAGGAGGAGAATCGGACGAACAAAACTTTTGAGTCTGAGTGTCACTTCATCGATTCCTCCACGAATCATTTGTTTCCGTTCATTTTGGTAAACATTGGGTCTGGAGTCAGCATCGTTCGTGTCGATGGCACAGACAAGTTTGAGAGAGTCAGTGGCTCTGCATTGGGGGGCGGCACCTTCTGGGGTCTTTGCAACCTGCTGTGCCCGGATTGTAAAGACTTTTCCGAGGCCAGCTGTAAGGCAGTGGATGGAGACTCTTCATCACTGAATCTCACAGTTGAGGATATTTACGGCGGTGATTACGAGCTTGAGGGTGGGCGCAAGCTCCCTGGCAGTTTGGTTGCCTCGTTTTTTGCAAAGGCTGGTCGTGGAGGGAACTTGCACGATGATGCAGCACTTCTACATGCACTGATTACCATGGTCTCGCAAAACATTTGCCAGATTGCTTTCTTGAATTCCCGCATTCAAGGAGTCACAAAAATTGTTTTCACTGGAAACTTTCTTCGACAGAACCAGGTTGCACGACAAGTTATTGCGACAAACATGAGGCGGGTCACTGCCACATCTCAGCAGGGAAAACAGTTGCAAGCTCTCTTCTTGCAGCACGAAGGCTATTTTGGTGCTCTGGGTTCTTTTCTGCACAATGTGGAAGGAGATATGAAGAGGGTTCCCACCTGCCAGCGATTGCCAACCTTCCTCGGAAAGCTGTCCGGTCGATCGCCCAAAATGGCAGAGCGCAGTGCTTTCCAACCCATCGAGTTTATCTTCCAGCGCTTCCAGCGATGCATTCGATGCTTCGGGAACAAGAAAGCCCATCAGACTAGGAAAAGTACTGACACAAGTGCAGAGAAGTTTACTTCCGTGCCTTTTCCAAAGGAATCGGGTCACCAGCCGATTGCAAGAGAACATGCCGTGTAATCGACGTATGTGGCCGATATGCATTTTTTTCATAAACTTCTGACGGTTCCCCATCTTTCATGGGAGTAGAAGGTAAGTGGTTTCCAATCAACTTTCCACGGCGAAATGCAAACATATGCCCAGGATGTTGGTCCTGAGGGCTAATGCAAAAAGGAGGTTGACAGTCGGTCACCCGCACCGTGTGTCGACTCCTGCTTAGACAAAGGCGAAGCCTTTGAGGACGTTGCCCAACTGATCTCTGGCTACAGCATACAGAGAAGAGCACCCCGAGCTTTCTCTTGTCAGCTTGTGAAGTGTATGTGCATTGAACCCTAGATTCATGCTGCAGCGCTACTTGCCTTTTTTGCGCATGTGGTACTCAGAAGGCAAAACAGCGGGTGAACACTACTTGCCACTCACAGGATAGCGAAGTTGCCGGATGCAGAGGCTGCCGCTGCTGCACTCATGCACGATGCTCTGTGTTCAAGGACGTCCTACTCGCACGGTTCTTGTAAAAGCTGCAAGTGGGTGCCGTGCGTGGCAGGGCTTGGAGGACGGAAAGCGGTCACTCACTGGAGAAGTCATTGCCACTCCGGGTATGGAGCTGTCGCTGTCGCAACCTCAGAATATTACGCTTGAGTTGGGATTCTACCCGGAGAGCCGTGCGAGCATGCTGGAGCCTCCTTGCTGCCTTGTGCCTTGTTGCAATTTGTTGCAAGCGAACCCGGTGTGCTGTGGACTTATTCACGAGTTCTTGTTTTTTTGATAGGCACACGAGCACTGATTTTATGACAAACTTTGTATCTTCGTTATAGGGCGGCGCCCCAAGTACAGCTCCTTAAACACCAATGTGGTGCTAGCAAAGCACTAGCAAAAAGAAAGGTAAACATGCACGCATTTAGCCCCAAGTTAGACTTGTAACATCTGCCGTGAACGGTTTGGGACTTGGTGATACTTGGTGCTGGCGGGGCTTGGGGCTGAAAAACCATTGTTCCCAGCCTCCCCTTTTCGAGCCGATGGTTGGGAATCATGTGGAACCATGCTCTTAGCATGCTCTGGGGCTGGAAAGTACCGTGCCAGCGAAGTGCGGTGTTCATTTCGAGAGGAAGAAGTTGGGAATAATGGTGTTGACACGTGTAGGGACTGAAAACACCATGCCAACAAACATGGTTTTGGCGCATTTCGCGGCTGGATAACGGTGGGATGTTGGCGCTACCACTGCGCTAGTATGGCGCTAGCAAAATGTGCACGAACCTGGGTTTTCCCGACAGTCGGTCACTACACGCAAGCCAAAGGTTTGCAGGCCTGTGAGGGATATCCCCACATCCCAATCTCTCAACCTCAACCGTCAATGATTCAACCTCAACCCAAGTCTTTTCTCTCATTCATGTGTTGGCCCCTGGAAGGATTTAGTACTCTCCAGCTTTGTGGGTGTTGAAACTCAACATCAACCCCTATACGTTCTTTATATTTCTTCATAGAATACCCCCGCCTTTTACTGTTTCAAGAGGGCACTCGCTCGTTTGCTACAACAACGTGGGGATGTACTACTTGCTCATCTCCCGCATGGGAGGCTTTCTGTAGGCGGCCCCCCTCAACAACACGCATTCCGCGACACACTTTGGATGAGTGGCAAGTCGAGGAATGACCATATGCTATTCTTGTGTTGCCATGTGCTTCTGAGGCCGAAGAGCAAAGGGAAAGCTGGCAAGAACAAGCGCTGGCTGAAAGGTGGGCGTTGCATGATGTCCGTGCGGTGCACAGTCCTGAAGCTCCTATTGCTTAAAGCCTAAGTTTCAAACCCAAACCCTAAACCCACCCCGGAACCAATAAAACGCCTAACCCCTATACCAGTAAGTCCTCCATTCTTATCAATCCTCTCGAAGCCATCATCGGAAATTACGCCTTGAGCTTCAATGCTGACATGAGAGCGTGTGCAGCCCTCCACTCAATCTCATGTGGCAGCGCAAACCAGAAACAGGAACGACCATTCCACATCCGTCAAAACTTGCGAAGGGGAACCCAAAGTGGCGACCGCGACGAGGGAGAAGTAGTGCTCCAGTGAAATTGGGGCTTCCTTTTTCCTTTCCCTGCGATTGTCTCGAGTCTGTCCGGGGAGCTTGACAATTTGTTCGTCCTTATAGCCGCACCCGAGCAGCAGGGGGGCGCCGTCAGCCTCTACCTGAGGAACAATTCGCCAGATGACGCAGTTGAACTCATCCTTTCATGCGCTGAAAAAGCCTATGTGTTGATCTTTTCGTTTAGCCACTTGGGGCAGTGGCCTTTTCTACACAGCTCCCAGCCTGCAAACTGAGTTGCAGGTCCTTGTCGGCCCTGAAGGCCTTGATGAAGCTTTCACGCCATGAATAAAGCTGACCACGCTGCTTGCCAAATACTTGCCAAATACAGCGAGGTTGTCAATTCCGCCATCAAACTCGCCCCGATGACACGAGCTTCACGCGATTCAGTTCGGAATCCAGCGGTTCATGATATACAGGAAACTGCCCGATGCAACAACAACACGATTCATGGAATGGCCGCTTCAGGCAACTTTCAGGCTCAGGCAGCGAAAAAATGTCAGTGTGCCGCACACAGCCAGCTACGGTAAATAAGCAAACCCTTGCAGCAAGAGCAAGCCAACTTGAGGCCGGTTAATTTCTAAGCAAGCCTTCGTGCGATTGACAGGCCTTTGGAAGTAGACAATGCTGATTGCTGGCAGACCTGTACCCGGCCACTCGGTATCTGAGGCAACACCCTGTATGTGTTCAACACGCACATCGTTTGTCCTTCACATCTCGCCTTCAAATTCGTCGCGGAGCCACAGACTGACTTGCTTACAGCTGGGAAACGCTTCACCGCTGGTTGTCAAGCCTGTTACAGAGAGGTGGGCATTGCACAGTGCCACTGTTTGCCATCTGATAAACGACAAGAAACTTGAAGAAGCCTCAATAAGCTCGATGAAGAACTCGCTTGTCAATGGTTTGCCTGTTTTCTTGTGTCGCATTCGAGTAGCCATGGACGAGAGGAACTAGAGATGCATCCTTGATACTGATTCCCTGCAGTGTCGCTCAGGGCACGTTGGTGCTACACAATGCCGCAGTTTCATGATGACGCAGCTGTGGTTGGTTGTTTTCATGCACAGGTCGGGGTGCTGCGAAGCGTCGGAAGTTGGAAGAAAATTCCAAGCTTGAGAAGTGGCTCGTGCTGAGCCCAGTGAAAAGATGTCAAAAGGATGACACAAATGCAAGTTTCAACTGAACTTGTATTTCCCCAAATCTGTTGCGAGCCGAGGAGGTGAATGGTGTATGGGTCTCTGAGAAAGCCTCTTGGGGCCAGCCGGTGCTTTGACCACGTTTTTACTGAGGGTAAGCTGAAGCGACCTTCCAAACAACATAAACGTTTGCTCTGATTTGCCTCTTCTTAGTTGCAACTGTGTGCTATGTGCTCCTCATTCGACCGGGGGTGTGTTTGAGTGTCGTGCCAGGCTGCCGGCGTGTCCATGGCTGTAGAAACGCGTGAGCAAACCGAGAACGAAGTCTCAGGCCTGATGAAGTTCTGTGAGAAAAATGGCGTGTTGGCCTTGGCTGCCTTGCTTTTTTCTCAGTGGAGAGGTCGCGGCTTGGTCGCACGCCGTGCCGCCGTCCGAGAGACATGTCCAGAGCAATGAGGAGAGAGCCAGACTGAGCCAGACTGAGCCAGATCCCGTGAGGACATCGAGCAGTACGAGGATTTGGCAGTGGTTCCGCTTCCTGGCACGATAATCATGCACTTGGAAGCTAGGCCAGAAGAACAAGCTTCATTGTACACATTGCCACGAAGTTAGTGGTTCAAGGCAAAAGCTCCTCCTGACGAAGGCACAGCACCGCGTTGCTTGTTCATGGCTTTCAGTGGTGAAATAGAAGGAGCGATCTCGCGAAGTTTTCGGAGAAGAGATCATCCCTGCAAACATGAGCAGCGGCCTGATCTTCTGGCACGGCACGAGTGACTTCGTGTGTCTGTTGTATATGTGTATTATAGCATGAACTATGGTGCCTTGGAAGGGTGATCTGTGCATTTGTAAGATTGACACCAATGTGCGATGATTGAGCCATCTTTGCTTGCTTGCTTGCATGCTGCGAAAGGTGAGTACCCTGCCATAGCACTGCAGCTGATTCATGAAAGGTTCGTGATGAAGGCTGCGCATGCTTCATGGGATCATTTCGCGGTTATTGAGCCGTCACATGCGAGGAGGATTCTTTTTGGGCTCCCTACATTGCCGTCTTGCCGTCGACAGAAGAGTCTATGGCTTATCTGCTGTTCTGATTCACCTTTGACGGGATCTTTCTCATTCCGTTCTGCAGGGTGGGTGCTTCCTTTTCCTGGTCAGACGAGGACACGCAGCAAGCAACATGGCACTTGTTTTTGCACTTTCTTCTGCTCATTTCTGTCGCTGGCTAGAACAGTCCTCAATGAAGACTGGTCGCTAAGATCTGTCCGGTCGGTTTTTTTGATGGCAACAGTACAGTGGGCGCATCGAGCACCATGCTTGCCTTGCAAGACGTGACGACTCAGAGCACTCGTTCTTGTTTAAAAGCATATGAACATGCGAGCATTGTGTTTGCAAATGTGGGCTGCCCCCCCCCCCCCCCCCCCGTCGCCGCCCCGTCCCCCCCGCTTCCCCCCCAACCGCTCGCTGCTTTTAAAGCCATGCAAGCTTTGAAGCATATGAGTTTTTGAAACCCATCATGCGAGCATTGTGTTTGCAAATGGGGGGGGCTGCGTCCGCCCAACCCGCCCTTTTTTTGCCGTGCAAGCTTGATTCAAACAAAGCATATGAGCCCATCATGCGAGCACTGTGTTTGTGTTTGCAAATGTGGGGGGGGGGGGGGCGGGAACCTTTCCCGCCCCAACCCCCGCGTGGTTTAAAGCCATGCAAGCTTGTTTCAAAGAATATGAATCGTTTCAAAGCATATGAGCGATTAAAACCTATCATGCGAGCACTGTGTTTGCAAATTGGGGGTCTGTGCCCCCCCAACCCATACGCTTCCCCCAACCTCCTTCCGTTTTTCAAGCTATGCAAGCTTTGCTTCAAAGCATACGAGTTTTGAAACCCATCATGCAAGCACTGTGGGGGGGTTGCCCCCCCCCCAAACCCTAAACCCTGAACCCCCCACTTTTTAAAGCACGCAAGCTTGTTTCAGAGCATGTGACCCCGAGCGTCTGAGTCTTTTTGGCGCCCATCATGCAAGCACTGTGTTTGCAGGGGGGGGCTGCGCGCCCCTCAATCCCCCATAAAGCCGTGCAATCTTGTTTCAAAGCATATGAACGATTGAAACCCATCATGCGACCATTGTGTTTGCAAAGGGGGGGGGGGGGCTGCCCCCCCCCCCCCCCCCTCCAACCTCCCCGCTTCCCCCGCCACCCCCGTTTTGAAAGCCATGCAAGAGAGGTTTTGAAACCCGTCATGGTAGCACTGTGAATGAAATGCGGGGCAGCGCTCCCCCCCCCGCAACCCCCTGTTTTTTAAACGCCGTGCAAGCTTGATTGAAAGCATATGACCCCCACATGAGTCTTTTTGGAACCCAACATGCGAGCGTTGAGTTTGCGAATGGGGGGTGGGGGTTGCTTTCCCTGCCCCCACCCCCCCCCTGTTTTGAGTTTGCCAGCAAAATTTATATGAATTCCTACGAAAAGCAGTAGTATGAATCTTATCAAAATACAGGGGAATAGAGGATTTCCTAGGAAAACCAAGACAATGAACCAAATCCTATGAGACATGGAGGGAATGGAGGTTTTCCCAAGACAACTGGACAAAAAGGACCCCCCAAAAAGAAACCCAAAAAACTCCACCCTTTTCTGTGCCTTCCCAACATCAAACAAACCTAGTCGCTCATACATCTTCTCGTCACTCCATGTTGCCGTTGTGTTGGAATCTTCCCGCCTCGAGGAGTTGAACACCCTCTTGAATGGCAGCATTTGTCGAAACATGTGTGGAACTCGGTTTCGAGTGCGACATTGAGCCCCGAAGTCTGCAGATGTCGCAGATGTCGCAGATATCGCAACCGAGTGAGAAGCCATAGCTTGGATGCATAAGGTCTATGTATTTGAAGAATCAGGTGAAGGAAGAGTTTGAAAAGCACCAGGCAGCGTTTCTGACGGTCATGCGAAGGTGGGCAATGTGCTCCTGCAAGGCTACAATCTTTCAGCAGTTCCCCGACAAGTTTCCAGCTGACGCATTTACGTACGACAACTATGTCGCGGCCTGGGATTGTACAAGCTGCTTGCACTGACTTGGAACCGCGGCAGCATGACAATTGACGAGAGGCTCTTTTGCAGTGTCTTCGAAAGGATTAGGCCCGCAATCGAAAGACTCACACCGCTCATTTCTTCAGCCATGCCGGCGGTAATTTGATCACCGTCTTGACGTCTTATATATCGGCTGAAGGAGTTTTTTCATGCAACGTCCTACCAGTGCACGCTCAGCGCTGGCAAACACCGTGAAGGCTTAGTCGGCGGGTAGTCAACGTAGTCGTCGTCGCAATTGTGTGTCGCCATTTGCCTGACGAGTTCCGTGTGCCTTGGTACTATTTCGTTCGGCTTCGTCTTTCGTGGTCCAATTTGGAGGCCTTTCTTCTTGCGTCTGCCTTCGCCCTTGGCTTCGGCTTTTAGGATCCTCTGTCTTGTGCAATATTGTGCAATGCATCCCCAGCCCAGAAGTGCGAAGGTGCTAAACCCCGCCTAACTTCGAGCGAAAAAAGCTCGGATGCCGCCAGCATAGGCTGCATAGAGCTTTGCTTGGGGCCCAACTTAGCCATGACGCTCCAAGGTCTGGGCATACGCCATTCTGTTCAGCAGAGCCGTGAGGCTTGACTTCCCGGAGCCCCGGCATGCAGCATGTCCTCGTCGTCGTAGAGGGTAGTAGCCGTAATAGTCGTCGTTGTCGCGGCAGTAGAAGCAGTAGCGGCAGCAGTAGCAGCAGCAGCAGTAGCAGCAGTAGTAGCAGTCGTCCGTAGCAGTAGTAGCAGTAGCAGCAGGGGAGGAGGCGGAGGAGGACGACGAGGAGGATAATTAGTCGTCGTCGTCGCCACCGCCGCCGCCGCAGCCGTCGTTCGTTGTCCGTCGTCGCTGCCGCCGCCGCCGTCGTCGTCGTCATGGTGGTCGTGGTCGTGGTTGTGGCTGTTAGGGGCAGTGGCAGTGGCTGTGGTAGTGGCAGTGTTGGTGTTGGCACTCGTAGTAGTGAAGGAGAGGTTGGGGCAGCTTGAATTCCATTTTGAACATGATGTTCACATACATGTCGTCGTGTCATTAAGGACGGTGCTTATGAGGAGGACTTGGTCGCACTGGTCCCATACATCGATCTCATCAACCACAACCCGAATTCTGAATCCAGAATACGAGGAGTGTGGCGCATAATGGAGCAGGTGGTTGAGGATGTGTAGTGAAGCTGGCAGTTGTGTCACGAGATGTTGCTGCTTCAGCAAGGTCAGCGAAGGTGCCGATGTGCCGGGAATAACAGCTACGGAACGATCTGTGGTTGTGAGATCTGACAGGCATGGTTGTCCTTGCTTGTGTTGCCAAGCTGTTTTTGCAGCTGCAGTCTCAGTGTTCTTCACGGAGACAGAATCTTGTCTTCATCCTTGTCCGTGGAATATCTCGAACCATCATCTATCAAGTGTACAGTGTACATGTTGAAAAGAAGGCAACAAAGTTTAATCGATAACATAACATTGTTTCGAGTGGTTGCGACCACGGGCTTTTGTTGCAGGTATTACAACAAATACGAGCAAATCTACATCTCGTATGGAGCGAGCCTCAGATACGTTGCAGCTGAAGCACCTTGTTCATGTCTGGCCAGCGCGAGGAAGAAAATCCAATGCTCAGCTCTTGATGTTGTATGGTTTCAGCATGGAAAGGAATACACAGGATGCGGTGTCGTGTGCTTTGCACGTGTCCACTGCCGACTCCGACTTGGGCTTTTCCGAAGGACTTTGTGACAATTGCAGCTGGACAGCTGATGGAAACCAGTCCATATGCTGATGCTGGCATCCCGGTGCTGCACATGTCTGCTGCTCAGTAGCGGCTACAAGATTTATGCAGAGTTAGGTCAAGAAGAAGCTTCTGGACGAACTGGAGGTCCCGCCAGAGGCGCAAGCTCAAGAGTGCATGTCTGAGCATGTGCGGAAGCTGGACATGCATGTCCAGGGAGTCTTCCCGCTGTATCGAGATCGCTTCACTGGTGAAATGATGATGTATCTCAGGCACAAGACATGTCATTTCCATTGTGAAAATTCCCTACACTTTCTGTAGCAGGCTGGCCATCGTCCAGCCCGCAGACCTGGATCTAGATGAGGATGCTACTGAAAAGCAGGCTGACTTCAGTCCTTGCTGTGGCTTGAGATGTTGTGTGATGTTGTGCGAGTGGTTGATCTATTCTCTTGTTGACCTCAGGTGTACAGAAAGCTGAAGCAGCTCGATATCAAGAAAGCCACGGGAGAGTGCCTTGGAGTTGTTAACTCTGTTGGGCTTGCTTAGATGCACTTATTGTCGGATTGTCGTTCTGTGGCAAAAGGGTAGTTGTTCGTGCGCACACTGTGGGGAAGTAAAGTGCTGCGGGTGTGTGCCGCCCGCAGCAGCGCACGGTGGAATTTGGAGGGTGTTTGGAGGGCGCCACGAGATTCACAGAGCGTGAGTGGTGGTTTTTCTTCGTCGCGGTGGATTGCAGGGTCTGCCGTCACCGCTTGGGCTGCGCATTAATGCGCGCCGCACACCATGCCGCGCATGTTGCCGGCTGCAGATCGCCACTGTGCACATGGCATGCGATGACCGCATTCATGCAAGTTTCCATGCAAGCACTTCAGTACTTGAGAGGGTCAGCGAGCGCGGGGCGCTGATCTGCTTGCGTGGCATCATACAGGCGCGGCTTCGCCAAAAAGGTTTTGGGAAGTTTAAATTGAGACCCAAACTCCAACTTCATCCGCGAGGAGCTGCAGGATGCATATCCCACAACTCTGCAGGAGGATGAGGTGCCTTGAGACGTCTTACACCTCTAAGAGTTCATGGCATCTCATGATCCTTGCTGTTTGCAGCACGGCCTCTCGAGGCCCTGATTCGGGATCGGCAGATGCCAGCTTCTCAGCCAGTTGCAGTATGTTGCAGTGATAGCTGCAGCGTGCAACTCTTTGGCAATCATGCCCTCGGAACGGCAGGTTTGAGCTGCTGCCCAGGAATCAGCGCAATGCTTTGCGAGTCAGGTGTGGCAGATTCCGGCAGTCAGCTTACAAAGGAGCATCTTTGCTGCAGAAGGTATGGCGAGAAACTGATCTATCGGGCGTCTTTGGCTACGATCGACCGCACCCTCAACAACTTGCCGAGGTGTCAACGTGTGCCGTGTTTGGCAGAGTGTCTTGTTGCAACGGTGCAACGGAGCAACCCCGTTTGAAGGCTCGGGCAATTGGAGAGAGAAAGGGCCAAGAGATACGAGAAGGCGACTTTGAAGTCTGCTCAGACTCTGACCGGTGGAATTTGTCGATCATTCAGTCAGTGGTGTTTGCGAAAATGTCCTCCCAAAATGCCTCTGCCTGCAGGTGTCTGCAGTGTGTTTATGGACTTGGCACCATACACTGAAGTTGGCGCTTGACCACCTAGAGCACAACACACACAGACACACCGCTCAAAACCGAAGCTTAGACGGGCAAGCATAATCTAAGTCGGAGCAGTACGCTAGCCTTGTTTGTGGATACACCAAGGGCCCTGCAACAAAGCGTGGAAGTTGTATGCAGGGTGCAGAGACTGGCAAAATCTGGCAAAGAAAGTAATGGACCCTGGAGCTGCACATATCTTCCTGTGCAGATGCAAAATTCAGCCTTTGGACGGCTCAGCGTCAAGTTCGAGTCGCCCTTCAAAGCCCGCAACCTCGAGGACAAGGGCGATTTTCGCAAGGTTGCATGTCTGAGAATGCGTTGAAGTACCTATTTGTTGTGTACACATGTAGTTTCGGGACAAGGAGCTTGCAGTATGGCTTGTGGGCTCTTATTTGAATACATATGTGTTTGTGTGTATTTTTCTGTATATACACATATATATATATATACATAAGTATCTAACGGGGGCCGTCGAACACAGCCGGGCACGCCTCGCACCGACTAGAGCGAGGGCATGGGTGCAAGCGGAGGAGATTTGAGAGGGGGAAGGGAGGAGGCACAACCACAGCAGCGGCAAGAACAGCAGCACCAACAAAAAGAACTGGAACAAGAACAACAACAACAACAACAACAACAACAACAACAACAACAACAACAACAACAACAGCAACAGCACCAGCAGCAGCAGCAACAGCAACAGCAACAGCAACAGCAACAGCAACAGCAACAACAACAACAACAACAACAACAACAACAACAAAAAGGAACGATACTAACAACAAGAGCAACAAGAGAGCCAACGAGGACAGCAACAATAAGAATACTAGCAACAAGAATAAGAACAATATCTAGAACAATAACAAGAGCAAGAACAGAAAGAACATTTCATTTCGTTTCGACCGCTTGCGCAGTTATGTCCCACGCCTTAGCGGACATCCTAATACAGCTACCTTGAAATCAATGTTCAGCCTTGTGACTTCAGCACGAGGATGCACAAGGTGAAGATCGATTTTAAAGCTTAGCATCGGTTTCAAGCTCGGAGTTCATAGGTGGCTTAACATTGATTTTTCCCCTATCGTGAAACCAGGTTTAAAACGATTTTGACCCCTTCGAGGCCGTGCTTTAATCTCTTAGCCCTTCTTAAATCCTTCCCCCCGGAGCCCGTCCCGATGGCAACGCAACCAAACTATTTATGATCTATGGTTTCCTGGACAGCAACATTTCGCACAGCATGCAGACATCCGGCTGTGCTGGCCGTATAACAAGCTCCGATGAGTATGGAACAGCCCCCCGAGAAAGACCAAGCTGTGCATTTTCCAATCTGTATTTCCAGGTTTAGACGCTGCCACAGATGGTTGCTACTAGGTATCAATGCGTCTCTTACAACCCCCGTACAACCCCCGAGTGCCTATTTCTGCGGTGTATGTAGTGGCGGGCGACCAAAATTTCTGTCGGAGACTTTCATTAGAGGAAGCAAATTATAGAGAGGTCTCTTAGCCCCAATCAACTCCGCTCTTGGCAAGGTAGTCTTTTCTTCTGCCTATGAAGATAGCATCCGGTAAGCGACCAGGAGAAGCTATTCCATTTCGGCTGCCACCACGAGTGGTCTAGAGACCACCCCATCAGAGTAGGGATGCCTAGCATACGTCCGTCTTCAAGGAACTTAGAGAGCACCATGTTGAGACTGCTATTCTTGCTCATCATGCCTCTGCTCATGATGGCTCAGTGTGACATGAGTCTGTGCGTGCAATCCCTATGTTGAAATCGAATCCCACAGGTTGGTTACTGTTCATAGCTTCTATGGTTGGAAAGGGTTTAGGAGTGATGTGGCGCGTGGCCAGGCCGAGAACCATATGTGTGGAGCAGGGGTTTGGGGTTGTTTTATGTGTTACGGGAACCCTTAAGCCTCCCCAGGCCCCATCTACCTTCACCCTCAACAAGTGCAGTGGGTTGTTTGCAGATTGCTTCACTTGTATTTGTCATCCATGCATCCCACAGCACTTTGCCTACTGTGTACCTTGCATGATTGATGCTTTCGCGCAAGCCCTCTGTATGGGCCATAAAGGGAACTCAAGGTATCAAGCCTGCGTGCCTTGAACCTCATTCCCCTAAACCGTATACTTTTGTTTCGGCTCAGACAGAAACGTAAAGTATCAAGTCTGTATCGGCCATAAAAGGCAATTCAAGGTAACAAGTGTGTATTGGCCCAAGCATGAAGTCTGTATTATCCCCAAAAAGGGCCTTCAAGGAATCAAGTCCGTATCGGCCCGAAAAAATTGGAAACTCAAGGTATCAAGCCCATATCGGACCTACGAGGAAACTCAAGGGAACCAAGTTTGTGTCGGTGCAAAGAGAAAACCACTAGTAGTAGTAGTAGTAGTAGTAGTAGTAGTAGTAGTAGTAGTAGTAGTAGTAGTAGTAGTAGTAGTAGTAGTAGTAGTAGTAGTAGTGGCAGTGGGAGTGGCAGTAGTAGTGGTAGTAGTAGTAGTAGTAGTAGTAGTAGTAGTAGTAGTAGTAGTAGTAGTAGTAGTAGTAGTAGTAGTAGTAGTAGTAGTAGTGGTAGTAGTAGTGGTAGTAGTAGTGGTAGTAGTAGGTAGTAGGTAGTAGTAGTAGTAGTAGTAGTAGTAGTAGTAGTAGTAGTAGTAGTAGTAGTAGTAGTAGTAGTAGTAGTAGCAGAAGTAGTAGGTAGGTAGGTAGGTAGGTAGGTAGGTAGGTAGGTAGGTAGGTAGGTAGGTGGTAGTAGTAGTAGTAGTAGTAGGAGTAGTAGTAGTAGTTGTAGTAGTAGTAGCAGCAAAGCCCGCCTCTGGGCGCCTGGTGTCCAGAGCCTTTTACCAGTCCGTGCGAGTGCCCAGGCTATGCATGTGGGGTAGGGGGGGGGGGGGGGCATGCCCAAAACACTGGTATTTGCAGCGTTTTCGCTTCTTTGTACAACGTACTGCACAGGGATGTGGAACAAGAAAGTCTGTCACAAGCGTCCAGGATTTCGCGCCCATGTCCAAAACATTGGTATTTACAGCGGTTCATGCCCAAAACGCTGGTATTTTCAGCGTTTTCGCCTCTTTGTACAACATACTGAACAGGGATGTGGAACAAGCGTCCATGCCTTTCGCGACCATGCCCAAAACAACGGTATTTACAGCGGTTTATGCCCAGAACACTGGCATACACAGCGTTCTAAGGGATCGAGTTTTCGCTTCTTTATACAACATTTTGCACAAGGATGTGGAACAAGAAAACCTGTCACAAGCGTCCATGCCTTTCGTGTCCATGTCCAAAACACTGGTATTCACAGCGTTTCATGCCAAAAGCGTTGGTATTTACAGCGTTTTCGGCTCTTTGTACATGATTCTGCACAAGGATGAAATCTGTCACAAGCGTCCATGCCTTTCGCGACTATGCCCAAAACAATGGTGTTTACAGCGGTTTTGTGCCCCGAACACTGGTATTTGCAGCGTTTTTTTGCCTCTTTGTACAACATACACAAGGATACGGAAAAAGAAGGAAATCCTGCAAACCTTAAACTCTAAACCCAAAAACATGACATAATTCAATGTCGTCAGTAGCAGTAGCAGTAGTAGTAGCAGCAGTAGCAGTAGCAGTAGCAGTAGCAGTAGCAGTAGCAGTAGTAGTAGTAGTAGTAGTAGTAGTAGTAGTAGTAGTAGTAGTAGTAGTAGTAGTAGTAGTAGTAGTAGTAGTAGTAGTAGTAGTAGCAGTAGTAGTAGTAGTAGTAGTAGTAGTAGTAGTAGTAGTAGTAGTAGTAGTAGTAGTAGTAGTAGTAGTAGTAGCAGTAGTAGTAGTAGTAGTAGCAGTAGTAGCAGTAGTAGCAGTAGTAGCAGGAGTCGTAGTCGTAGTAGTCGTAGTAGTCGTAGTAGTCGTAGTAGTCGTAGTAGTCGTAGAAGTCGTAGTAGTCGTAGTAGTCCTAGTAGTCGTAGTTGTCGTGGTAGTCGTGGTAGTCGTGGTAGGGGTAGTCGTGGTAGTA